ACGGACGGACGGACGGACGGACGGACAGACGGACAGACGGACTGGGCTATATCGACTCAGCTCGCCATCCTGATCAAGAATATATATACTTTATGGGGTCTGCGATGATTCCTTCTGCCTGTTACATACTTTTCACAAAACCATTATACCCTGATTTCCCATTTTCAATGGGTTCAGGGTATAAAAACAAATTTGGAAAAACTGAAATGCAGAAAGTTGTGAGCAAAAGAAACAAGCAAGAGCGTAACACAAACACACACACATACACGCAGAGTGGGTTGTAGGGATACGAGCGGCGTTTAATTGGGCTGACTGAATCGATGGTAATCGTGATCGTGTCATCGATAAACGAAAACAAAACCACCAACTAGCAAATTGAAAGAAAGCCGAAGGCAAACATACGCCAACCGGTATTCGCTATTGATAAACACAAATCTGAATACTTATATAAATATAAATGTGCTTACATACATATAGATATTTACACATGCATAAATACATACATACATACATACATATGTGTGCAATAATTGGATTTGGAAAGGGCATTTTGTAAGATGTTGGCGCCGTAATGTGACAGTTCATTTGATTTATTAAATGTTGGTTTTCCTATATGTACATATGTATGTATACACCTACATATACCATTTTCTATTGCCATCTACAATATAACACTAGCCCACTCGATAACTGAATCATAGGCCGAGGCCTAAAAACTCGCTTTACATTTCGATTTCCATTGTGTTCGCAACTTTTGCTTTTGCTTTTGATTTTGCTTTTGCAATGCCCTGTTGAAACCCGGTTTCGAATTTAACCCAAGCATCAGTATGACAGAAAGAAAAAGACATACAAATAAATTTAGACCAAAAACTGCAGATGACTTGCATGAATTTTTAAATAAGTGAGACATCGTAAAAACTGGCAAAAAAAAAAAAAAAAAAAAAAAAATATGTGAAACATAAATATTTGAAAATTTTGTTTTTGGTCTCACGAAGTTGAAATGCTCTGTAAGCAACTGAAGCGCATAAAACGGCTTCCATAAATGAACTAGTTCAAAAAAACATGTTCCAATTCATATGTAAATTGGATAACAAAAACAATGTGTACATACATACATATGTACATGTGCCGGCATATAGAATAATAAATGGAAACTTGGAGCTTTGCATATTTGGTGACATAGTCAAAATACACGCTTCAAAAATATACTTATGCACATACATACATACGTATATGTATATAAACATATTTGTGTGTATGATGCATGTATTAGCATGCCCAAAAGGTTGCTAACGGTACTCAGCGACTGGTTTTGCGAAAAAGCAATCGTACAGCAAATTCGGAGTTAAACGTTTGCATCTCGCTCTGTCATTCATGCGACTGGCATTTGCCATACTCTTCATTTCTCTTAGCTTTGGATCTTTCCACACAAGTACATGAGCCTGCGTATGTGTGTGTGTGTATGGGCAGCTGGCAACATTTTGCAAATCATTTTCCATTGCGCAAAACCCTTGGATGCGAGGCAGAGCAACTGGCGATGGGGGCGAGTCGGTCACAGATTTAATAGCTGCAACAATAACTGTCTTCACATGCGAAACGCTAACGAATTTGCACGGACAACAAAAAAAACAAAAAAAAAAGCAAAACAAAAGATAATATGCAATTGCAAATCATAAATTTGGATGCTTGCGAGTAACAGTTCAGCTGTAGTGTGTTCCTTGCGCAAGTGTCGGGCGGCTTCTTTTCAAATGTTGCTGCGACAATTCGCTGTTTCCTGCTGTGCGAACATAATTGAGGGCCACTGTAGCTGTTAACAACTACAATTTGGGGACACAGTGCGCTTGTGACATATCAGTTGATGTTTTATTTACATATACATATACGTATCTATTAGCTATACAGTGGGCTTACATTTCTAAATATTTCTAATGCCGAAAATGGGCGACTGCTTGACAAATTCGTCCAGTTTGCTTTGAAACAGCTCCGATGTAACCACTGTGCCGGGCGTCCACAGTGGATCACGCACCACATACTCCACCCAGACTTTGGCGTACAGCTGTTGCAGTAGCTCCTTGACATTGATGGCTGCGGTGTCTGTGTTTAGCACGAATCTAAACAAATACATATTTTCATTTTAATCTAGATCTTTAGATCAGCTGTTGCTTTACTCACTTTAATCCAGAGGGCGTCTCTAAATAGTGCAACGCGTAGCGATTTGTTTTGTAGTAAAGAAATCCTTCTCGTGGGTCGTGGGGGGATATTTTGCTTACAAAGGACTTGATGGAGAACAACATGCCGTACGTTAATTTCGCTTCCTGAAATTTTATTACATTATAAATAATTTATACAACAAATGGCATTGTTTTTGTTTTTGACGTGGATGGATGTGTACCTCTTCTCGGGTTATGCCTGATTTCTTGGTACGGTTCCACTCGGCGTAGTGCATCAGAGTGCCCATTTTGTCGAATATATACAAATTAAATATTGTCATTTTGTTTAAATCACAGCTAAATGCAATACAAAATACAGCAACAAAATTAACAATAACAAATGCTCCAACAGTGTGACCCTAATAAAAAAAAATATATATATCGATAGTATTTGCGATATATTTGTAGATGCAAAGGGATAGTCCATTAATGTATAAATAGTGGAACTAGTATGAATTTAAAAATATAATAATTATAAAACATATTCATTTTGTCAACTCAATTGGAATAATTATTTAATATATTTTGATATCTTATTTTGTTATTTAACTATTTTGAATTTTGTAACATGTCCATATCGATATATCCCTGCCAATCGTTGAGTAGTTTTCGCAAGAGCGTAATATTTTGTAATCGATAATTTCAGGCGAACGCGAACTCCTGGACTGCCTTGCGAATTTTAAGAGTAAAACTTCCTTTGAAATTATTCTATTGCAATTTAAACAAATGGTCTAGAAAACAATTTAATTACATTCTGGATAAACAGGGTAAGGTCTGCCCATATTGAAATGGAATCGCCAATCGCCCAAATTGCTGGAAATTCCGTACCAAATGCCAGCGATGCCGGCAATACCAACAAAATGGCGTCGTCGACTTCGTCAAAGAAGTCACCTACGGACGTACACGAGTTAAAAATAATGGAAGTGGAGGGCGCGACAGAAGAAACACTAGTTATTGAGTTAGATGACGATGATGGAGATGAAGGCGCCTCGGTGGGTGAAAAACAAACGGCAAATGTTAATAATGCCAGCGAGGATAAATCAAGGGATGATGAGAAAACCTCAACTAAAACGGAGCCCAGCAGCGATGGCGAAAGTGCCACCTCATATAATGGACCTGATCCGATGGGTTTGCTGGAACCCATCGATTCCAGCAAAGAGGCAGACTATGACGACGATGATGAGGAGGAGGAAAGCGCCGACGAGGCAAGCAGCAGCGGGTCGCGTCGTATCAGCCGCGGTGAACGCTGGCAAATCTGGATGAAACGCTGGCCTTGGCTGCTGCACGAGGAGAGCGACGGCGAATTTGCCTTTTGCTTGTACTGCAATGTGATCATCAATATAAACAAAAAGCTGAAATACATTCAGCAACACAATCTGTCGCTCTATCACCAGGAGCGTGAAAGCAATTATTTGGCCTTCAAGAACAGCGATGAGTATAAGCAGAGCGAGTATGTAACTATTAATAACTATTGCTCTGCACCGTAACTAAATATTTCTACTTCTCAGACTGGTTGACCAGGATATCAAGCATGAGTTCGGCACAGACAACTATGTGGCTGCCATGAAAAGGAAGCGCGCCAACGAAGTGGAGAAGCTAAACGATTTCAATTGGCAGCGCTGGCTAAACTGGCACGATTGGCTAGAGCGTACTCAAAAGGAGGGAACAGTTGGTCTGTGCAAGTGCTGCAATGTGCGCATGAACGTGGAGTTTGTCTATTTGCGCAAGCGGCACGAGACTAGCAAAGGACATTGCGAGGCCCAGCGATCGATGGAGAAGCGCAAACGCAAACTTAGCGGCAGTGAATCGGACAACGCGGATAATCCAGCTCAGGAGCTGAGAGATAGTGGCAAAGCTACTGCTGAAGATACGCTTGTGATGACTGTCGTTGACTCCTGCGGAGAGTCCACGGATCCCAGTGACTGGTGTGAGCTTCTGCCCGAAACGAATCCGCAGCAATGCCGTTGCACGCTCTGCGATTGCCGCATGGCCATAACCAGCTTCATGCGCCACCTGAAGACCAAAGTGCATTGCAGCAATTTAATTGCATTCAAGAAGAAACAATTGTGCGTACAATTGTATTCATCTTGCCTATTAAATATAACCTTTGTTCATTTGCTTCTAGATCGAAGATGAATCGCGGCATTTGGGCAAAGTATGCGGAGCAGCATCCTTGGATAGTGGCTGATCCTAGTGATCCTTCAATAGCCTACTGTCATGTCTGCAGCCGGCGCTTCATTTACGGGCATTCCGAAATCAAGCGTAAAAACCATGAAAACTCGGAGAAGCATCAGGCTGCAGTGGCGGCAACTATCGCAGTCAATGGTGAGGAGCAGGAGCAGGAGCAGGAGGAGGAGGAGCAGAGTGAGCAGGAGCAGTCAGACCCGCAGACAGAAGGCAGCGACGATGATTATATTCAGGAAGACGACAAACTATCCACCTCGCAAAGAAGCTCCCCAGAGTAAGCAAAGAATATCTCCTCCTGATTGCTATAAATATTTTTGAAATATTTGTCACAGACTGGAGAAAGAGACCGTCGTTGCAACGAGCAAAGCTAAGCCTGTGGTGCGACAGTTTCCGTGGCTGCGCTACTCAAAGGATCGCAAAATTCAGATATGTAAATTCTGTCGCGTGCGTTTCCACAAAGAGTCGAACAAGGTGCGGCACGAGCAGAGCGCACGCCACAAGAAGCTTGCGGCTCAGTTTAAGGCGCGCCAAGCAGCACGCCGTAAGGAAGCGCGAAGGCAGCGCAAGCTCGAGGAGGAAAACGATAACGGTGATCAGAGCAATGAAGAGTCCGTAGCCGTAACTGTTGATGAGGATAACTCGCATTCAGTCTCAGCACACAAAGCATTACCGAAGCCAGTATTCAAGGCCGTGCCGGCCACAATGCAGGGCAAGGTAATGGTGTGGAAGGATCGCTTTCCTTGGCTTTCGTACAAGCGCAGCGAGGCCCGCCACAATTACGGCTGGTGCAAGCTCTGCGAAGTGTCTGTCTTCCTGCCCAGCTTTAAGTACGCCTCCAAGCACCAGCGCAGCTCTCGACACGTTCGCTTGCGCTTCGAACGCAAACGAGTTGCTCGAATGCCGCCAACATCTGCTGCGGCAACGACCGCACCAGCTTCGTCAGCTCTGCCCACGGGCGAAGCCAAACATAAAGCGGCCATGGCCGAGCTGCAGGCGAAATACGATTGGCTGGAGCCGGATGTCAACGATGAGAATTATTGCCATTGCAAGCTGTGCGAGACTCGGCTGCCGATTAAGATATTCTTTTTGCGGCAGCACGATGGAGCACGCAAGCATCTGGAACAGCTGGAGCGACTTAGAAATACCAGCGAGATCACCACGATAACAACCACCGAAGCGGATCGAGCCGCGTCTGTAATGGATGTGGACCAGGAGAGCGACGAGGAGTTGAGCGTTAAGTAAGCAAAGCACCGTTTCACTAAATGCTACTCAATTAACTCATTTGCAGTCCGCTTCTCTCTAGGTCTGAATGCAGCACCGGGGAGCAGCCGCCAGCAAAACGGGCGCGTCGCTCGATGGAGATTCGTCGCATATTGCGCGCATTGCGCGACTCAGCGGGCAAGCGAAGTGATGAGCGCAGCCAGTTGGATATGGCCAAGGACATGATATGCTCCTCCTTCGACATTGTATCGCGTCTGCGTACTCTCGAGCGGGAAAACGATTCGCCAGCCAATACGTCATCCCACAATTGCTCATTGGCTAGCGTGTCCGTTGCACAGCCCCGGGACACCATGGAGCTGTTCTTCGAGAGCATCACACAGACCATGAAAAGTCTGCCCAGCGATCTAGCTGCCGAAGGCAAAGCCAAAATCATGCAGATTGTGTGCGACCTGGAGCTGCGCGGCATCCAACGTAACGCCCCAGTGCCAGCAGCTGATTCAGCTCAGTCGAGGGACAAAGTAACAGTGTGCACACCCAAAGAGAGTGAACCGGTGCGCTTAAATTTCGAGGAAGACAACCGAAAGCTGCAACAAGCTCCCGAATCACCAGAATCTGCGTCTCCACTCATAACCCTTGAGGATCTGCCGGACGAACCGCCGGCGCAGATAAGGCTGTCGTCCAGCAACAATCACACACCCGAACCCAGTCAGAGTTCGGCTCCAGTTGAACATACGGCGCCAACTGCCGCAAATATCAGTGTGCCATCATCAGATCCTTGTAATGGACGCTCACAGGAGGTGATGTTCAAGGTGCGACGCTTTCTGACCAGCTCCAATTCCAAGCCGGAGGATTCAGTGCGCGTTGTGCCCATCAATAAGCTGACCACAGTGAATGCTAATTTTGGCGGTGCGCGCGCGAATGGCCCAAATACTGTCAGGGCCCAATCGAAGAAATCGAATCATGCGCCACCGAACGTAGTTGTAATGAACACGCCTCCCAGTTCCAACTCGGACGTGAGCAATGGCAGCACTGGCAGCACGCCTGTCTTTCGGCGGATTCATAACAACAACACCATCGTTTTACCAGTGCAGAACTCTGGCCAGGCTCAGCAGGTGAGGCAGCAGAAGCCCAGCCAACAGCAGCTTCCACAGAGTACTCCTCGCTACTCGAACGCCGCTACCAACACGCAGCAACACATCCAAGATCAGGCACGTCGGCAATATGTTTTGAACCGCCCAGTCGTGCAACCCAACAGACCATCACACCCAGCCAATATGTAAAACTCGTTGATATATACAAATAGCTAAGTGACGCCTTTTCTTAGTTGTTTCACGAAACAACTGTAAGGAAATCAAATTACTCTTTGTGTTAAGCTCAAAGATTTCCACGACATATTTATAGCTGTAAATGTATTGACTGTTATGCGAAATGTTAAATTTGAATTAGAATCAAGCCACGATGTTCACATAGCATTGTTATTATTATCCATAGATAATATATATATCTATATTATTATATTCCTGCAATCTGAAGTCTAAAAGTTCTCCACGATACTTGAATTGAAAATGTGTTGACTGTTAAGCGAATTATTTGAATAAGAATCAAAGTATATACTACTTATCTATATGAATAGATAAACTTATTATTTTTTATATGTGTATACATATAAATCTTTTTTCGCTGATCTTAAATTTTTATTATTTAAATTAAAGATCAAAAATTTGGTTTATAAATACCATTGTTAGCTTAACTTTTTATTTTCCTATTTTTATTTGACTTTTACTAAAGTATGAAGTTTTTATTACAGAACTGTCACTCGATTTTTTTTTTCAAACATATTTAAGAAAATAGTTTTAATAATTTTGAGCCTTAACCAGAAAATATCTGAAAATATTAAAATTAAAAAACTTCATAATTTTATTAGTTTAGAAATATAATTTTTGCATCACATGAATACGAACTGACTTTTTGTTTTCATTGTAATCATGTTGCAATAAAAAAGAAAGAAAGTTACAAGTATAAGTATATAAAAAACCGCAAAATTATTTAGTTATACATATGTATATATATGTGTGTATATATAAGGTTTTCAGCACATTGCATCCATTTATTTCGTATTATTCCGATGCAGTTTATACAAATAAAAAATGAATAATAAGGTTTTTATCGAGGATTCACAATTCGTTAGCTTAATTTGTAAAATAATATTCAGTCGATGGCTGAAACATTGTTTCATTGCGGCCGTTGCGGCTGTTGCGGCTCGGCCGCGGGCAAACCATTTTGCAGCACCATTTGTTCGGGTCTCTCGTCGCTGGTGATGGTCGACAGCTCGATCTCCCGTCGATCGCCCAGCAACCGGCGCGTCGAACTGTGCATGAAGGCATTCTCGGGCATTTCATAGCTACTGCTAGCGACGGGCACCTGCGGAATACGAGCAATTGGAGGCGTGATCGCAGCGGCGTTGTTTCGTTTGCTATTCAATTGCTTGCGCTCGTTGGCCTCCAGTGCCTCATCAATGGGCGCTGTGGGCACATGAAGCGGGAATATTAATTTCACATCTAGAAAACTGCACAGCTCCTCCATGCCATCGAGAGCACGACTGAGATCTTCGTTGCTATGCTTGCCCATGTGTTTGCGCACAGTGGTTAAATAGCTAAGCAGTTTGCTGTGAGCTATTTTGATGACCGTCTGCGCGTTCTTCAGCTCCAGACGCAGTAGCTCAGGGCTCTGGAAGAACGATCAAATAAAGTTACAAATTGCTAATTACGTGGGACACTGAATTAAATTTACATCTTCAAGGTAGCCATCCATGGCGACGCGATTGACATCCTGTAGCTTCGCCAATGCAGAAGAATTCTCAGCATTGCGAGCCTGCATATAGCTGATGTGCCGATCGATTTGGGTACCCACATTTGAAGACTCGGAGCTAGTGCGCACACGCTGCGGTGATGCTTGCGGCTCAGATGCGGGCGAATTGTTTGTGAATGACACACAGGAGAAGGCGTTCGCTGGGTAGTCGAATTGCTTGGGATTGAGCATGTGCAAGGCGTGTCGCAGCACCAGATTGACATCGACATGGCTGGGATAGCGCATGAGATAAGTCATCGATGTCGTATAGTCACTCAGCAGCACTGCAAGAACAAAGCGAATGACAAATCAAAAAGGGGATTCTTTGCACACATATAAACAATTACGCACGCTTATCTCGTATATGCACCAGCATGGCCACCAATATGTAGTTGGGCAGATCGAAGCGATCGCTGTCTGCAAAGATGGCATCCCAGAGCAGCAGCAAATCCAGCAGCATGAATTCCCGCCCAAACAACAGACGCAGCCAGCGACTGAAAATTATCAGAGGTAAATTTTTATAGAAATTAGATTTTAAGTGAATTACACTCACATGCCAAATATATGCAATGGAATTTCCATTTTGAGCAGATAGTGATGCAAATGCTGATCCTGCTTGGCCAATATTTTATCGCGTATCAAATTCAGCTGGCTGATAACCTCCACCTCTGATTGCGGCTCAGCGTCAGCGCCGGGTGTCTGTAATAAAATCTTTATTATACACATTTGTTTAAAACAATGAATCCAGGGCAACGGCTTACCTCGCTCGTCGACTGCAACTCAACTGGGGAGGAGGCTATGCTGGTAACTCGATAATACGATTCCACAGAAGACATGAGGCGCGAGAAGATAGAGCTGGAAAGAGAGCATACTATCATAATAGATATATAATGGGTATATGAATAGAACCTACTAGGTATCCGCTTCCAGATATGCCGCATCCAGAACATTTAACAGAGCTTCATTGATGTCCGTCTTGGCTATCTCTTTGTAGTGCAACAGCGACTGATGATCGCTGTAGACCACAAAGATAATGGGCGCCAATATCTCATGCATGCCCTGCCTGTAGCACATGTACGGATGCTCCCGTGCATAGTAGAAGAGTATGTTCGTCATGGCATTCTGTATTAGGGACTTGCGAAAGAAATCCACGCCCGGAAAGGTGCGCACCACATCCTGGCGTATGACAGCGAATAGCTCCTGATCGCTAAAATACTGATTCCAGACACTTTTCGTCGACTGCGATAAGGGATCATCGTCTACAGGGCCAGCCAGCTCGTGAGGATTGCGCACATAGTCCACGCGAAACTTCTCGTATCTGCAAATTCGTTTACACATTTATAAAGTACTGCAGGTTTGATTATTTAGTTAATTAACCTGCTTCGCTGCTGTGTGCGCTGGCTAACCCAGCTGCGATGATCAGCGCTCAGCACTCGCAGCAGCAGCGCCCAGTGGATGCTGCGAAACTTTGACATTTTCAGCTGGCCGTTGAATGCAGCCAAACGCAAAGATTCGGGGTCCTCGTCCAAGTTGGACAGCAATTGCGCCCATTCCTGCCTGTAGCGTTCCACAGAGGTCATGGCCTGGCCTTTGTCAACAGGTGTAGGTTCTATCACGGCCCTGCCCGTTTCCTCACGTATGTTTGTTTTTATGGCTGCTCTTGCATCTGCCTTTGACGTCGGCATATATAATTTGATAGCTTCTATGCCCCGCACAGTCATTGCTTTGTTGCTGGCTGCTCTACGCGAATTGTAAATGAAAGCATAATCGCACCAAATTGAATTGAATTTACAAATACTATATAAAAGTGAGTGGTTTACAAAACAAAGCTGATTATATTTGGCAACATTTGTGAGATAAGGGTGCAAGTGTGACCGACCTGCGTGTAAAGATTTATTACATTTTGCACGGGTCTGGCAAGCACAGCTGTAGTTTCGATTGTTCATGCCTTATCGATGTTAGCAATAGAATGGTATTAGAACAACTTTTTAAATGTACTCAAGTAAAATTTTAAACAGGTTTGTTCTAATCATAGAATTTTGAAATGCAAATATATAAATATTTATGCTAAGCCGCTGTACAGCAAACAGCATAAGGTAGAATCTCATGTAAGCCTGTTGCAAGGACTGTTACGTGCTAAATATTTACGATAATCGATAGTTCCAGCTTCAGTTTGAATTTGGCCGTTGCAGTATAATTATTTTATTTAAGCACTGAAAGCTGCGTCATTTATTATATCTAGAATAGCTGCAATTTAATCAAATATGTTGGTGGTTAACAAATTAATGTTTAAAAACAGGTTTTCTAATCAGAAAATTTCCCATTTCAAATTATAAATATTAATGCTAAGCTACTGTACAACATTCCGTTTATTTAGAATTTTATAGATACCATCACTAGTGTCTGGGAATATAAATAATTGCGCCAATCGATAGTTGCAGCTTTAGCCGTTAGAGCACGACTAAGTTGATGTAAAAGCGACAAAAAGAAATATGAAAAGTTTAGTAAGTTTTTTTTTTTAAATCTAGAATTGAAGTATTAAAATCAACTATGTTGATGGTTATTAAAAACCGGTTTTCTGAGCATTAAATTTCGTAGCAAATAAATAAATAATAATGGTAAGCCACTGTACAGCATTGAATTCGTTTAGAATTTCATGGATAGCAGCGCCAACTGCTGTTAACATAAATTTGTGGCACTCGATAGTTCTAGTTTTAGGTCTTATTTGGCCGTTATAGCATATGGGCATTTATGCAAACACATTTATTTGAAAAGCGAAGCAATTAAAAAATAATTTTAATATTCAATATATACATATTTGATCACGCACATATATACTTTCACACATTGAGGTCAATGTTTGTCTTAGCGCGCTTGATACGCAGCAAATTATCGATTATAATGCTTAACGAAACTGACAAACCAGGAAATAAAGAAGAAATAAAAAAACAATAAACAATGTCGTACCGGCGCAGCAGCCGCAATATTATGAGCATTAGCATAAGCAACAGTTTCAGCAGAAGTGCGACCCCCTGCAAAAAAAAAAAAAAAAAAAACAAAAAACAAATTGCAAATATCGCAGTTTATGGCATCGAAACTCTTCTATTTTTAATGTATTATTATGCTATGGTCAATGGCTGGCGATTTTTGAACCAAGTAAGACGGTCAATGCCGTTTTTTGATCTAGTCTCGAGCAATATTTCTAGCATTTTAAACTTGACCCAATGAATCCGCCAGCTATAACAAATTTACGCTGTCTGACCGCTGTCCAATGGAGCGTATGAATGAATCTTAGGCATTACCCAAAAAATCATGTCTTACTATGCTCTGAAATTTCAATTACTAACAATGCTGGCTGCATTGAGCCGCGAAATGTAATTTTTACTAACAGATATTCACATCACACAGCTTTAAGGTTCCTTCCCGTCTGTTCTGAGTTGTCAAATAAATTATGAGTGCAGTTGCTGTCAACTGCACGTCCAGCGCATTGTCATATATCGAAATTCACACGCACGCACACGCACACGCACACACACATATACACTATACCACTAGCTTACGCACACAGACGCATGCGGACAACGAGTATACGCCGCATTGACTTCGATTTCGTTTTGTCGGTCAAAGTCAATGTCAATGCAAATGCGAATTGTGGAAGACGCAACCGCTGCCATGGCAACGCATTAATTAACTAATCTGTTGGTTTATTTCTATTTAATATTTTATTGTTTATGTTATATCTTGGCCGATCGTGCAACGGTCTACAGCGAAAACGTTTGTTAGCTGCTTATCAGCGCCGAAGATAACTCGTTTTTGATTTCAGTTTTTGTTTGTGTTATTATTTTTTTTTTTTTTTTTTTTTTTTTTTTTTTGGGCCCTGTTACAGTTTGCTTTGGGCTGCTTAGCATTTTGTATTTCCTGATGTTCAATCAAGCAACAGCTGAGCATAAATGTGCGTCGATTTGAGTGTTTCTTTTCAATTTCAGCGACTCTTTCTGCTTCTTCTCTGCAGCGACCGCATGACGCAGCCGAGGTGAAGTTCGATTTCGCGCGACTTTGGCCTTTTTTCGTGTGTATGCGTGTGTGTGTGTGTGACTTTGTATCCATTTACATATTTTAATTATTTTCTTATGCTGTGTTTTACTCTTTTTATTTATTTTATTTTTTGATTTTGTATGTTGTGCTTCTTTACAGTTACATTTGCAAGTCGTACGCGGAAGACAAAGGCCGGAAGTCCATTGTCAATGTCTGAGGCCTGTAATATTCGACCAAGAGACAAGAATTTGATGACCATGCCAGTGGCATTGCTTTAGTATATTATATACTATTAAATACTAAATATATATAAACATACATTTATGTAATATTCTTAATCATAAGGTCAAGGGGTCACACAAGAGGAAGATAACTAGTTCTAGTGTAAAGAATTCTCCAAAGCTGAGTAATAAATCAAAAATCAAAAAAGAAAAAGATAAATTGGTTCTGAATAATATTAAGCTGCTCTAATGTATTAGCGACATACTCCAGTTATGCGTATTTTTAGTATCTGCAAGCCTTTAGCACCTGTTCTACAGGTTTCGCCCAGATATCTAAAGGGTCACTGCCATCCATCAATCTCCCATTATATTTTAGCATTATTATTATTTTTATTTATTTATTTATTTCTTTTTTTTTTTTATATATACATCAGACCAGCTAGACATAGACACACATATATTTATATGTATATAGCAATCTATGTATACGTATTTAACACAACACGAAATGTAGAAAAAAATGAATAGTATTTAATAAACGAAATACGAAATGATATTCTATGTAGCATAGCTACTGACATAGGCATAGTCCCATGCCCAGGCACAGGCTCAGGCTGAGAATATAAAAGTATATATAGGTTTATATATGTAGATATTTAAAACACGAATCAGGTTTTGCAGCCATGCTGTTGAATTCTAAACAGCATGCGGATTTTTGGGCCTTATCCATGCTGGGCATGATCGAGTTGTTAATGAAAATAGTGAAGTTCTCGCTGTTGGCAAACGTTCTTTTTAGCCAGCACCCAGCAACTGGCCAAAGCAAAGCAGTATTTTTGTTTTTGTTCTTTTCTTTTTTTGGCAAAAGTTTATACGGAAACAGTGCCAATAAAATAAAAACAATAACAAATGCATATGCAAATGGTGACAAAGAATAATGTTAGACGTAAAGTTTTGAAATGCCGCGAACTCGTTGCACGTGATTCATTTGCTAATTCGAATGGTCAGCTACTCCATTTTCTGCCCAGAGCATAACAATTCATTCACTTGAGCTCTGATTTTGGACAATTTCTACTTGAATATCTGAAAAAATCGTTAGAGTTCTCGAAAAACAAAAAATCAAATGTGAAATCGGCTTGTTGTCAACTGTGGTCAGATCGAAATCGAATAGAATACCGTAATTTGCAGTTAAAATTTAGAAGTACTATTATTATGGCGTGTTCTTCAATCAAAAATGTTTGATAGAGTAATTTAGATACGTAAATGGTTAGATGAAATCAAAACTACATTTTAGAGCGGTTAGCTACCAGGTAGGAAGTGAGAAAAGAATTATAGTTTATTATCACTCACATTCTTCACTCATTGTTCACTATGAGTCATGATCTCGCATCAACAATAGATTGATATAAATTAGTAGAGTTCAGATATCGAAAATGTACTAAAGACTAGAGCTCTACATGTGTATAGGGTAAAATTAATAAGAACAACAGTTCATAGTTTTTAGGTGAACTAGCATAGGAGACCTGGCTCTTCTAAATGACGAAGAGCTAGGCAAAAATGTCGTTACTCAAACGAGTTTTAAATAAATAGATGTTTATGTATTTTAGGCGTTGCTTTAAAATACCTTATTTCTATGAAGAATATATATAGAATATATATAAATAAAGTTGTTTCTACCTTTTAATCATTACATGAAGTAATTGGACATTTTTAATGCAGATTAAGATTAAAATTAAAAAATATTTAGACTTGGCATTTTAACAATGAATTTCTCAACTTATTTTGAGTAATCATTTAAGGTGTTTCTTTATGCTCTATCGTGATTTATTCATATGCTTACAGATCGTCACTTTGATTGGGCTTTAATGGATTTCAGTTGTTATAATCAGCCTGGGGCTGGGATCGAAGAACCACACGATTGGCTTGGTCTGATAATGCCTGTGAGAAAGTATCGTGTATTGTGTATTCTATGGAAATAGGTTGCTGTGAAACAAATAGAATTATAATTATTGTTTTTGTTTTTCAATAGATTCCATTGTGTTGCGCTGCTGCAAACCTTTTGCTTGCGCTTTGTGTGTTTTTCTCTGGCGATGCTCATGGGGCATTAAGTGCGTGTTTTGTGTTGACTCAAACGTGTGACATTGCGTTCTTCCTGTGGCTGCGCCTCATTTCGCGGCTGTCATTTGGTATTTGCATAAGCGTTTGGCCTAAAGCATTCGAATCCAGGCCTAATTAGGTTTTCACGCACTTTGCACTTGACTATGCAGCCTTTGCTTTGTCGCCTCACATCGATCTCTATTATGTTTTTCAAAGTAATTTCAGACTCGGTTTCAGATTTTGCAATTGTCACGCGTCGCATTTAAAATTGACTTGACTTGCAAATAGTTCAAGCTCTGAAGTAACCTTTAGTGCATCATATAGCTGAAAGCAAAAGATTAGCCAATATTGAGCGAAAAGAGCAAGGCAGAGAGATAAAGAGAGCAAACGAGCGAGAGAGAGAGAGAGAGAGAGAGAGAGAGAGCGCGCGAGAGTGAGTGTATATGAGACGGAGTGTATCTGATACTACCCATTAAATATATGTACATATATTTGTTTACTCTCATAAGAATTTTATACCAGATTCTGAAACAAGTTAATTTTCTAGTTTGTTTTGAAACTTAACATAAATTCGGCAAGCTTTTCATTTCCTAGTTGACGTCTATGATTATCTGGCGTATCTGACCACTATATCGTATGACTGACATAGGACCATGAATATCAATTCTATCAAACTAGTGGCTCTTTCTGGAACTCTATAAAGAGACAAATAAAGATTTCTGCTATATTGAATTTTGTTGAAATTTATTTAAGTTTCTTTTCAACTAGGAACAGTCTTCATGCAAATAAACATAATTTTTCCTCAGCAAATTTAAGTTATCTTTATGGCTATGATCTCCCAAGGCTTGTGATTGGAGCATATGATCGTTTTCCATGTTTATAATGAATGTTAATTATTTAACACTTACCAGTAGTCCACCTCTGGATTATTTCTTATATGAGCGCTACAAAATAATTTTTGCAGTATTTCAGTTTTTATGCTGATTGTTTTCATTTTCAGCTCAAGTCAACCTCTTGGCTTTTGCTGATTATATAGTCTCAAACAAATTTCTTTATCTATAAATTTTACTATTATTTCATAATGGGTATGAACCATCTGTAGCAAAACAAATTCCCCTTATTTACGATTAAAGGCTAAACAAGCACCTCAAGACCTCATAATTGCTTTGGGTAATTGACTTTGTTCAAGAACCTGCAATATTCTTGGCCTCACCTTGACGCAGCTAGAATTTTCTTTGTGCATCTCTAAGCAGAGGTTCATATTATCTTCAATTTGTATTATTTTTTTTTTTCAATTTTAATTGCATGCATGTGTGTTTATTTGATTTTTTAATATTCTTTATGATGTTTTCTGTTTTTGGTGCTTTAATGCTGCAAGTCATTAAGTGTTTTGGCAGCGACACGGCCATTAGCTGCTAACTGCCTGCAGCCTTTCAATTACTCTCCCGACCTGTGTGCGGGGTTACACGGCGAGTGCACAGTGTCGCAGAGCTGGCACAAAATGGATTGAATTAAATTTAGTTTGCTACAATACAAGCATAGGTGAGACCTAATTTGCTTCTGAGGCACGTCCTCTAATTGTGATGTATGTGCTAAAGCGCATTTATGGACACAAATACCTTGGGGCGAACTACTCCAGTTTTACATTCATTCACATCAGTTTCATTCAGCGAACAAGTTGAATGAACCATTTCGATGGGTATTTAGTCAATATTCACGCACGTGCTCAAAAAATTAACGATTTTTGATAACGATTTTCTGATTAGCCTCATAAAATACGCACACGCCGAAACTTCATAATATTTAGCACAGGTCCGACTTCTGTTCTGCCTTTATAGAGTATATTCCAATCAAGTTGTTTTGTCACAGTTCCTGGCTATTTAACGATTGAAGCCAGACAGTGGAATGAGTATGTTTAGGTACTTTGACTTTAAACTCTGTGCAACATTTTGTTGCCACCTGTTGACCTTCCATAGTTGCTGCAAGTTGCAAAACGATGACTTTTGACACCTCGACCCTCTCGCACGAGTCTGTCTGTCCGTCTCTCTGTCTGCCTGTCTGTTCGCATTGCAAACAATTTTAGTGGCCGTCAGTACAACAAAATTAGACACAACTCATTTTAACAATAAACATTTGGCAGTAAACTGTAAACAGTTTTTTTTTCATTTTCATTTTCAGTTTTTTGTTTCTTCTTTTTTTTTCGAAACATGTACAAATAATTATTGGCCTAAAACGGGGCTTGGGCCCACCTAGCTGTTTGTCTTGAGAACCGCGAGTCGTCCGTCACTTTGCGTGCCCAAATATTGACGCGGATTCAACAGCAATTAAGTTTGGTCATGAAAGCGATTGATTTTTAGAACTGTAACAAAGCCACAAATCAGCAGCAAACTGCGAACTTTGAGAACAAACAAACAAAAAGCGGCTGCCTCACATGTAAAGTGCCATGGAAACTATGTGAAAAGGCCCTCAAAGAGACGAAACTTTAGTGTTTTTTTTTTTTTTTTTGTTTACTAGGAAGAAGTTTGCTCAAAGTATGCAAGATAAGTTTGTCAGCCCAGATGCATATTTATAAAAGAAATATGATAGACATATGTATTCATATTTCATAAATATAAACATCTATTTCTTCCGTTTCGGTAAAGCTCCATAAGATTATTTGCGAAGTTTTAATGAAAAACATATACGAATTTAAATTCATTGATTGTTATGATCCACTTCCTTCATATTAAAAATTAATATTTAGTTTTTAGCAATAAATATATAATTCAATGTTCTTATTTCTTTAATATATTCAATATATCARGGCACTGAATAAAATTCGAATACTATGCATGCAAGCAGAAATATGAAATTGAAAAATAAAAATTTCATTAACGACAATAATATTAAATTGACAAATATAATTATAATTATTATAATACAAATCGTATTCACAATTATATAATATGATATATGTATGTATAAACAAATAGAAGTAGTTATGAATGAACGGACAAAAAGTGAATTATTTATGTCTCAATCGATTTGAATCGATCGACTTTGGCTTCTCAGAGCTTAATGAAATCATAAAAAGCTAACAAAAATCGCACACGCGGCCACTTTTAGGCCAAACGCGCAGCATTGGATGGAATTGAGAATATTTAGAGCTAAATGTGTCTATTAGCCGGCTGACATGGTTGACATGCATATGCAAAGCACAGCTAAGCATAATGACAGTTAATAAAGTAGCCAACGTGCTCAACTTGACCGCTAGTTGGATAGTGCATGACCTGCAGCTGAAATAAAGCCAGGCCCGACCCTGTTGAGTAAGCCAAAGACGCCGACGATTAGAAGAGTCCGCAAAGAAGAGAAAAGCTGAAAATCCAATGTTGCTCAACAACTTGAGTCGTGTGTGTGTGAGAAAGAGAGAGAGGGAACTGAAGAGGCCTACGTGAGTTGGGCCAAATAGACGTTGTCGTCGAGTGCAGGGCTAAATGTGAATTTTATGACGATTCGTGGTAAACCACCGAGTCCCCCTCTTCCCCCTTTCCCATCTACCCCTCTCCCACTCACAGCATAACTGAAGTCTTGTTACATTCAATTTACGCTGTCGCTTTTATCTAAATCAAATTACTTAATGCCAAAAATCAACGAAGCCACGCGTCGCACATTAGGTCGACGGGAAAAAAATAAAACAAAAACAAAAACAGAAACAAAAAAAATCACACAAGCGAACCGCGATCAACGATCGTCACAGTTCAAGAATCGGTCGGAGAGCCGACTGCATGTCGCATGAAGATCGGCTTTAAAATTCGGCGTTGCTAACTATTTGAGGCACTGTTGTTCGTCAGCATTGGAGCACCAAAGCCGAACCTCACTCGCTGTCAATCGGTTGTGCGCGAATCTCCATATATATATATATATACTCACACACACAAGCACATATATATGTATCTATATATGTATATATGTATATGAATTTTGAACTAGCCTAGCTTAAAAACGATCTGCCTGACGTGCCGTACAATCATACGCCGTGCATTCTTCGCGAACCGTGGATGTGCCGCGTGTGTTGATAAGTTAACCAAAAATATATATATATATAGAATATCGAACATCCTTATAGGGATGCAAAACGAACTATTGAGTGCGTAACTCGTACCTCAGATTTGGTGTGTGTTTGTTAAGAAAGCAAAGAGCAAATCTATAAGCAAAACGAGAGCTCGGTGCATACGGATTTTACCTGATCATCAAATAGATATATATATATATATAGAATATATATATCTGTAACGCAATTAAACAAAGGTAAGTGCAAGCAGCTCATAAGGGAATACAAGTCTATATCAACAGAGATGTTAGTCATTGGAAATTTCACAACATTTTGAGAAAATAATTAAAGGAATGCTTAAGATGATCAAATCCTCAGATATCCACTAAGTGGAATGTGCTCAACATCAATCAATATTATAAATAAAATCAAATCAATCTTGAGTCAAGAATCTCTTAACTCATAGTTTCACCATTGAACACAATATAAAGAAGACAATAGCTATATATATATATAGACTTATAAAATGGGAAAAAATCTGTGAATCATCAGCGAAATAGGAAATCACACAGCAACTATAACGCGCTTTAAGAATGAGCACCAAAAATTTAATATCGAAATATGATTGGGAAAAAATGAAGAAGCAAAACGCAACAAAGTTAGGGATCACGTAGCATAAATAAAAAAAATTATGCTAGCCTTTAAAGGCAATGAGTCAAAGTCCATCAAATATGTAGATAGGCTAGGCTGGCTAGGCTCCCCGTTCTACGCACAATGGGGCGTATGCGTAATGAGCGCGATTGTTCTAGGCGGCTGCTTGTATCAGGTTTTTGTATTTGTATTATTTCTGTCGATTCTTAAATTGAATATCTATATATGCGTTAGCATAGTGTTTAATGAATATGGATGGCGCGCATAATTGCGAACTGGCCATAGCAATGAAGACATTAAAGACGATCATGCATATAGAACAGTCGTCACGTTCCAGCCAGCCAGAGACAGAGCCAGAGCGTCATCCATTGTTATGCCAACAGCGTCCCAGCCCGACGAATTGATCAATGGATATGCATAGAGATATAGATGGATTGACATACAGCTATAGCACATTGATTGAATGTAGCTGATATTTATTATTATTATTATTATTATTGTCATTGTTGTTGCTCTGACGCGCTAGTGTTTGCTGCCGAGCAGTTTAAGATCGATTGATCAATTCGATTCAAATAAAAAACAAAAGAATAATATTAATCATAATAATAAAAACTCTCACGAAAGATACACCACAATGATACAAGAGAATCACATGCCTTTGAAACTCTAGCCAAAACCCGTTGCTAGAACCTTGATCCCACAGCATAAATACATGTATGTGTGTGTGTATGCACAGTCACTTATATTCTAAATCGAAGCTGTTTTCTGTATAAGTTTTGTTCTTCATTGTCGAATTATGCTAATATTCCGGTAAGGATGGCCGCAGCCACAAAGCAAGGCTAGTCAATCTCAGCATATTTTGGCATTGGCATATCAGACCCCAAAACTTGTTTTGACAGAGGCAAAGAGTAGTGTTGGCTCTCGATTTAGTTGGGTATCATATGTATATATGTTTGGCTTGTCCATATATTACAATGTGACGACTTCAGTGCAATGCACTCTGTCAACTTTTTCATTGCCTTATAATTGATATTAATGAAGTATTTTGCAATGCATTTAAGGGCAAGCATTATGCAGGCCAAAGTTGAGCTTGATTGGCTCTATATATAAATATACTATATATATAATATATATTGGTGTTAAATGTATTACAAAACATTTAATTAGATACATTTCACAAAATAATGCAAATTCTTTTGCGCATTGACTGCCTGGATTGAAGTCTAATTTTGTTTGTAAATTTGTTTACTTAGCCATTGGTCAAGGTCAAGTTCTTTGATTAATATAGATTTTGGCACGAACATATTCAAAGGCTGAACTATGCGCGCACCTGTAATTCAATTGCCGATCGATTAAGTGGCTGCGGCTTCAACTTGACATTGGCAACGGCTGCGAGTTATTGACTTCAAAAACTAGGCACGAGTTGGCATCGAGTTAGATATACGATATACGAAATGCCCGGGCTGAGCAGCCAACAAGAACATTAAATCAAACTCTAGACGGCGTGCATGTGGTATGAGGTCAACCGGTTGTCGATTCTAAAGAAGTAGCTGCCGCCGCAGCCAACCTGTCTGCCTCAGCCTCACCTGCCCGACCGCCAGTCAAGTATTTAAGCCAAAAGCAACCAAATAACGAAATAATAATTGCTCAATGGAGCTGCTTCGCTGCTGCTGGTTGCTGCTAGTTGCAGCTAGTTGCAGCTATTTGCAGCTGGCTGCACTTGCTGCAATTATCAAACGAGCATCTTTCACACACTTGGCCAAGGTCGCTGAGTTGCATTCAAATGCAGCGCCAAATCTTGACGTCATCCAAATATCAAATTACAAAGCGCGTTACATGCGGCGCAGGGGCAACGCCAACTTAATGCAGGGCATGATTCCAAGTTCTCTTTCTATTTTTTCCATTTTTTGTTTGTGTTCTCCCTCATTATTGTGCGCAAAGTAAAAATGTACAATCATGCATGCAAATGGGCATTCTAATCTAATTGGTAATTAGTGGCAGGCGCCCAACTTAATAAATTCGAGAGATCAACCTCATGACTTCGCCCATACAGTCTGTCTATAATTTGTACTAAAGCGTGCCGCGTAAATATGCTAAAATAGTTGAAATACTAAAATCAAAATAGTTTATTGATGGCCTCTTCAAGAATTGTGCTGAAGTGTGTCGAGAGAAATATATACATACATATATAAATGTATATATCGAAATACTTTGTTGCTTTATCTTTTTGTTTTTGTTTTGTCTTGGCCTTTTGCTTCCGGCTTATTCTTTGTATCGGCTTTATTCGAATCTGAAGTAGCTCAGCTATCGAAGGCCGTTGGTAATGAGGCAGCTGCCTAAAGCTGGTCCATAATTAGCTGCTCAGCTGGGGAGGTTGGGGGGCGCTCTGCCATTTACGTGGAAAGTCAGCTAACATGCTCTGCATAGCAAATGAGTTTGCTTTGCATCCCAGCGCTGCACAATTGCCAGCAATTTGCCGCTGTGACAGGCCATTAATAAGGAAGCGAAATATCGACGATATGGGCATGTTTCATTTCTATTCCGTCAACATATATACGTAGTTATTTACTAAGCTGATCTTTTGTGTTTGCAGATGGCACCGAACATAATAGGCAGCACCTTTATATTGGCTGAGACGGCCATGGCTGATGCCAATAATAATAAGATGTCAACAGCAGCAGCAACAACAACAACAGCAACAACAGCAGCGCCAGCAGCAGCAGCAGCACCAGTGACTGCGCCCATCAAGGCAGCACCCATGCCGGCAGCTAAGCCGGCCACGCCCCAAACGGATGCCCAGAAAGCGACTGCAGCTGCCGAGCCCTTCAAGACCCAAATCGTCTGGCATAATATTGTGCTGTTCATCATCCTGCACTCGACGGCACTCTATGGCCTCTACTTGATACCGGCCGAGAGCGCCTACCTCGAAATATTGCCCAGTGAGTAGTCGAACGGACAGCATCAGCCTCTCAAGCGGCATTCACTAATTCTGCTTCTCTCTCTCTCTCTCTCACACAGTTTATCTGTTCTCGTTCTTGGGCGGCTTGGGCATTACGGCGGGCGTGCATCGTTTGTGGTCACACAAGGCGTACAAGGCGAAGCTGCCGCTGCGCATCTTCCTCATGCTCTGCCAGTCGCTGGCATTCCAGAACAGCATCTGGGAGTGGACACGCGATCATCGTGTGCACCACAAGTTCACCGATACACATGCCGATCCGCACAACTCTCGCCGTGGCTTCTTCTTCGCCCACATGGGCTGGCTGCTCTGCAAGAAGCATCCCGATGTGCGCGGCAAGGGCAAGCAGATTGACATGAGCGACATTGAGGCCGATCCCGTTGTCATGTTCCAGAAAAAGTGAGTCAAAGACAGGACTGAGACAAGTTGAGGCAACGATACTAACTCCTTCTCTCTTTCTCTCTCTCTCTCTCTCTCTCTCTTTAGATACTACTTTGTTGTGATGCCAATTTGCTGCTTTGTTGTGCCCATGCTGATACCCTACTATCTGATGGGCACCTCGCTGAAGGTCTGCTTCTTCAGCTGCTCGATGCTGCGCTATTGCCTCTCTCTGCACGGCACCTGGCTGGTGAACAGCGCCGCGCACTTCTACGGCATGAAGCCCTACGATGTGAACATCAGCTCCGTCAACTCCAAACTGGTATCGAACATTACCTTCGGCGAGGGCTGGCATAACTACCATCACGTCTTCCCCTGGGACTACAAGGCAGCCGAGCTGGGCACCTACAATGGTAACTGGACCACAGCCTTTATCGATCTGATGGCCAAGATAGGTAAGCAGACGACCAACTTGTCTCGAGTTGTAGTGCGGTTTTGAAACTATTGTTTATCTCTGGTCAGGCCAAGCCTACGATCTGAAGTACGTGTCCAAGGAGATGGTGTACAAGCGTGTGCTGCGCACTGGCGACGGCTCCCACATTGCCGCCCTGCTGGATGCCAACAACAACTCCAGTGCCGCGCCCACAAACGAGCTGGTGATGCACCTGGATCACGAGAAGGAGGAGAACGCCGTCTGGGGCTGGGACGACAAGGACATCAGCGAGGAGGATCGCAAGCATGCCACCATTGTGAACAGTGTCGAGGAGAGCAAACAGGATTAGACAATGTTTGTGAATTGCGTCCCGAATGGTCTATATAACTCTCGCCGATTTTGATAGATGGGAATACAGTGTTTTCTGGCAGTATATACACATATATACTCCTAATATACGAATGAGCGCGTCTGTTATCTATGTCGTGCATCGGACGCAAAAAAAATGGCTTCAATTCCAAAAAAAAAGAAAACGAAAAGATCAAAAGATAAATCTTCAAACCTTAACATATTCGAGATAAGCCCAAAACTTTGTACAGACTATCAAAGCAAACCCAGCAGCAGCTCTACGTAGAAGACATATACATTTTTTTTTTTTATATATCTACTTAATCGTTCAATGCTGAGCACACATTTGACCCCTATATATATATATATATCTATGCATAAATTGTAACGCCTGAGTTCTAACGACGCAAGTGGATCTAGACTTAAATGTACTTGATAAGGCTTATGCTTAAGTCTCGATTCTCAAATGGAGAGAGTGTAAATTGTTTTTAGTTATTAGGTGTGTAGGATATTAAGCTTTAAGACTCCAATTGTATATTTAATCAGAACAATTTGTAGAAAAACAAAAACAAAATTGAAAACCACAAAAAAAAAAAAATTCGCTAAAATTCCAAAAAAAAAATTCAAAAAATTATATACATATGCTGTCTTTCGCGCTAAGGAAAAGAAACAATTTATCGCGCGACTTGGACATTTGTCTGGAAATGGAATAAAGATTATGCCTAAYGAGCATATATATAAATATATATAACATATATAAAACATTTACTCAGAAAACAATGGGAAATGGTATAACTGATGTATTGATAGATTGTTTCAAAACAAATAATTTCTAATGTACGATAATATGGTGAAGATTAAACGGTATATATATTTATATGTATATATGAAGAGCAATAACAACACAGGCCACAATTGACAACAAATTTCAGACAACATGTTTAAGCATATATGATTCTAGAGTTATTCTATATATATTGACCTTATCTATAAGGAATACAATTTTGTTTAAGATTTTCCTTTAAATAAAACATAGATAATTTATATATATAGTACATATTTTTTCTTTATGATTTATGTATATGCAATCAATAATACCCGATTTCGACATAACTAATTTTTCTTGGTAAGTCTCAAGGAAGAAAGTGAAGTAATTTAACTTTTAAATTCAGAAGTTCTAGCTCGAAAAGTTTTGAAGATATATCCTCAAGAGAAGTTCAATTAAGGAGTTTAATGCTGAGTCTCTAGCTCTAAAGACGATTTCCCACGCTCTCAACTAACCTGGCTACATCTATTATACATTTTTTATTTTTGATTGTCTAATTAGTATTCGAATTATTCTCTTACTGAAGATCGAGTATATTTAAATTTCAGATCAGACGATCATTTATACATTAAAATCTTGATATCTCAATAGGACCGACAATTGGACTGCTGAGCGAACAGCAAGAGAGAACTAAATATTTAAATATTTTATGCACAATAGGGTATCTGCTGGTCATGCACTTCCGCCTTTAGTGCCTGGTTTATTACAGTTATCAAATATGAAATTTAAAGCCACCTTTATTATTAAATTAATATTTATTTTCTGGCTCTGTTTGCTTCAATCATTTCGTATGCTTCGCTTCTTTTCGATTGACTGGGAAGTACCGGCAGCTTAAGTGTCATTGTTGTTTCTGTATGTTGTTGTTGTTGCTGCTGCTGTATACCAAACTAGTTGTCTGCTGTCTTGTTGCTGTAGTCGCGCGTGCGCCTATACATTTTTAATGAGCTGCGACAAAAAAAAAAAAAAAAAAAAAAAAAAAAAAAACGAAAAAAAAAAAAAAAAACGTCGCATATTTATCATCCAAAACTTTTGCTGAACTTTCGGGTGAAGTTCTTTATTTAGAAATGACGTAAAATTCTTGAACTCTTAAGAATTTTTAACATATATATATCATATATGAGTATCTAATAAAAATACCTAACATTTCTTTATATTATACTTAATGTTTTTTTTTTTTTTTTAGATTTGGACTTTACCCTTTATAAAATTAAATTAGTTTAACCTTGAATTTGCTGGGAATTGAAATACATATTAGTATATAGGTCAGTTGCAGTGTATAAGGCAAGCGACTTAGCTTTAGATCTATTCAACTTATGTTAAAATCCACTATGTTTTATGCAATACCTGGGTGAAGGCGATTAAATCGATTAAGAAAGCAATAACAAAAATAGATTTGGATTCTGAAAGAGAGAGGGAAAACACAGGAATATATTCAAGCTGCGAAATTTAGAAATAGAAATGTATTCCGAACGATAGAAAAGGTATTTCCTCACAAGAACTCTTCTCCGACATTGAAAGATCAACGCCACGGTACTCCCAAATGGAGGAGGCCTTGGTCACTCTCACTTTCAAAGATCCCTTCTACACCCAATTTCCATTAAAATCAAACTCAAGAAACGAAGGCCGTAGAACGGGAGACAGTCTTTATTGGAAGAGCATTGTTATCAAGCTGGATGGGAATTTTTAACTAAATTAAATTAATTTACGATCAATGGAAGCCCTCGCTATAGCCGTAGCTGATGTGCTGCGGCTGATTGGCAGCACTGGCAGCGGTGGCCGAGGAGTACGCGTAGAGCATGGCGGCCAGAAAGGCGCCGTTGTTCATTAGGAGCGACATAATGGTGGCCATCTTGAGGGTGGGCAGGATGAAGGGCAGCAGGCTGCCCAAGAGTACGACGGGCAGGACGAGTATGGGCACAGCCACCTGGAGCATGGTCGTCTTGTAGGAATGTTTCTTCTTACGCCTTTTGAGCAGTCCACCGACGCCACCGCCGCCGCCACCGTCTTCGTCGTTGCCGCCTTGACCACCGCCCAGACCGCCCTTGTGCTTGGAGCTGCCTTCGACCTCCGGCACATAGATCTCCCCACTGGCACTGGCTCCGCTGCCGCTCGTGCCGCTCGGGCCGCCCAAGGTGCCGCCAGTCAGCGCGTGAAGATTCATGAGATGGAGCTCGTCGTCCGTATCGCGCCGGCGTGCTCGGCCCAGGCGCGACTTGATGGCTGCAGAGCATAGACATAGTCAGCGGCAAATATATCTCTCCTGGCGCACATACTCACCCTTCTTTAGGCTAAACTTGAGCTTGTTCTCCTTGCTGGGCACAACCTTGACCAGCATGCCGGGCAGAAAGTGCAGCTTGAGGTCGCGATTCTTGAAGAAGCGCTGAAATCTCTGCACCAGCCGCTGATTCAGCTCCTTCTCCGACATCTGCTGATACTTCTCTGTGATCAGGCTGCCCAGTTGCGTCTCCTGCCCGAAGAACTGGTCGAGAAAGTCGCGCGTCACATTGCCCGTCTGCGGCAACTGCTTCCGCTCCTCCAGCTTCTGCAGCACGAACAGCTTCGTGCAGCGCAGCATGCTGAACTCGCTCAGACACTCGTACAGTCGCATCGGTATGGTCGAGCCGAAAATGCGTGTCACGCAGTTCGGGCTTGAGGTATCGCAGGTTTTCAAGGCGCGCTGCAAAGTATGCAACACCAAATTTCACTTTCAACTTTACTATGTGGGCGGGGGAAGCAGTACTACGTGGGTATTACGTGGATTAGTGTAATCTCTTGAGTTTTTCATTGAAGGTTTACACTATTCAGATTGGTCTATCATATGATTAACAATCAACTAAGGTTATTTTTCTTTTTTGTTCAATATTATGAAGTAAAGAATCTTTATATTAGACAGAAAAATGAATTAATTGTAATATTTATTCCTCCAAATAGAGAGGATTTTGGAGCAAGACCTTCTCTTTCCAATCAACTAAAGTACTCATGATATTCACATTCATACTCATACTTATTTTTTCTTTCTTTTTGAGATGTTCAGAGTATGAGTAAAATTAGCTGGAGCACAAACTTAAAGTAACTAGATTTTGGTTCGGCATTTGAAATATATAGCTATAAAACTTTTGTTCGCTTACTGTAGTATTAACTTGTAACTGACAACAATTAAAATTTATGGATATACTAATTATATGCCTTTGCCTAGGGACACTAATTCACAATTGCTTTTAATTTAAATTTATATATCGTATTATTTATAGCAATACATTGAAATAATAAACTTGGATTAAAAATATAACATTTACAAATTTATTTATTTTTTTTTATTTTTTTAATTTTTTTATTTTGAGGATATAAACTAAGATATAACTTTCCTTGATAGCTCAGCAATATCAATACGATTCTGATATGTGACCACAATTTTAGCGTGATGAAGTCACAGACTTTGTTTTAATGGATGACCCTATACAGTAGTACTTTAATATACAATATCATACTGATATTATTATTGTATATTATTTCTCGTCATAAATTCTGCTGTCAATGTGGCCTAACACTCAACACCAATCTTATTTGATATATATTTTTATGCTTTACCCAATCAAAGGCCTGCGCGAGGCCCACGGCCAGCAGGATATGCACAGCGAGAACAATAACACGCATTGCGAAGTCTGAAGTTTGATATCTCGATGTGGGCACAACTGCACGAGAGCAGCAACAGCTTTGAACTGAATGCATCAGCCAGATCGCGGTGGCTGCCAGTGGCTGTCGATCCTGGTGGCCAAGCGCGGCACAGCCAACTGGTTTCACCAAGAGCGGCCAGTGGCGTTCGAGCTCTCGCCAATTTAGTTTAGCAGGTCACACTGGCTGGGGCCATGGCAGTGGCTGCAGTCTCTTCTGACTATCGGCGGTGCATCGTTGGCCCCTTTCGGCTGAGTTATAGTCGTCCCAGTTGCTGAAACGTACCAATTTTCAATGTCAAGAGTCAAAGAAAACAAAATGAAGAGCGAAGTGTTAACTGGATTATCGCACGATGTAATGATTGTTATTTAAAGCGTGCTGCCAGCTCTTATCAGTGACAGCCTTATCAGCACTTAGTTAAGGCCGAGCTGCGGGCAGGTGGCGGGGCGGTCGTTTAGAAACTTTGAAATTGTCTCAAAGTGGAACAATTGCAGCCGGACTTAAACTGGTTGACAATTGTATTGGCAGCGCCTTAATTAGCCGCACTGCCAAT